AACCACAGTGAAAGTATTACATCGATATGTGTTTGCTATTTTTTTAGGGGGGGGGGGTGGGGTGGTAGAGGGTTAATCACCATTCTCACCCCCACCCCACGTGCACCCCCCCCTATCCCCCAACCCACCCCCCCATCCCCCCCACTATCCAACCCCTCCATCCACACTCTACTCATCTCCCCCCAGGATCTCAATCATTTCAGCACTGCAACCACCCCACCCATCTCAGTGGCTTAAACAAAAATGATGATAATAATAATGGTTTATAAGGTTCAGGATGTTTGCAAATTTAACATCGTTGGGTTTGCGGGCGCTTTGCATGTGGTGATGCTTTGCTGGTGGTGTACTTATATATATATGCATGCATGCAAACCAGAATCTGCTGATGAAACACTGAAAGTCGAAACCGGCCCAGCTTTTGCTTGTTTTAAATCAATGCTGCTGGAAATTAAACCACTCCCAGAAGGCCTATGGCGTGACTAACAAATGCTGTAGTTTAATTATATATATTTTGCGTTACGTGGGAAGTCACATATGGCAAGTGGGAATTATGCCAGCTTTATCTATTTAGTGTAACTTATCTTCGCAACGACGACGCACAATAAAAAATATTATTGCGTCATGGGGTTTTCATACACAAGTGCATATACATCATAATTAGCCATGTTCGATCCACTCCTGGATAAAGGCTTTATTTACCAGTCCTTATTTTTGCTCGCTATCTCTGTCTGTCACTCACTTCAACTCAGCAACCCCATCTCAGTGGGTTAAACAAATACAACGATAATAATGATCGTTATAGGTATCAGTGTGTTTTAAAAATGTCCCATCGTGGGTGCGAGTCAGTATATTTCACGTGGTGATGCATCGCAGGTGATGGACAGGTTATGTACACGTGTGCTCTTCAAAGATTAGTGACCCTCGGTTCCAGGGGCGGTTTCTTCATTAGGGCGATTGGGCGACGCACCACCAATGTCATTCAACCACAGAGTCACGCTAGCCGTCACTGTGCCTCTGGATATAGTCCAATCAGCGTCATGTCACGTTCTGTGGAGTACCGCCTCTTTTTGGGCGATTTCACTCCAGCTGAGAATCGCCCCGAGTGGCCCCATAGACTTACATTCAAAGATGTTTTTTTTCGAACAGGGTGCGCTCCAATGCATTCTCTATGGCTTCCGGGAGGGCTCGCCCTAACGTGCTTACGTCATCATACGTAAGCACGTTTCATCCAACAATATAATTTGTCGCCACCTAGTGGAATCTTTAATAAAAGAAACTTGAGTGAATGGTATTAATAGTGAGTATAGAAACAAACAAGATGTATTGTAAGAGTCACTTTATTTTTCATTAATATTAAAGAAGTGAAGTTGCCTTTACATGCTTAAGCTGTGAATTTATCCATTGCATGGGTGGACCTTATCCTTATCAATCATCCAGACATTTGCCCCCCCTGAGAGATTTTGCAGGAGCCGCCACTGCTCGGTTCATATAACGTGATCAGCCGGGCGCTTGGTGGCTATGCACGTGGCTGCCTGCAATCCAGCACTTTGGATGTAGCAGCGAGGAGTGGTGGACCACCGCACGAAAGTTGTGAAACTCCCTTCACGTGAGCGTCGAGAAGGAGTCGTGTCCTGGCGGATTCAAGTATATATGTGGTTAATGGAGACCTGATGCATTGCAAAAGGTAATCTACGTGGTGTTTGAACATCTTAGCATCTATCTTGATTTGAAGCTTTCGTGACTGCAGGAATCCATACTCTTTGGTTCTTTCGGTAAAGTCACGTAGGTAGAAATGAAATAAATCACGACGTTTCGGGCGCAACACAAGCGTCCGTCATCAGGTGGGAAAGCGTGGTCTGCTGCTGAGGCCGACTGTTTAAAACGTTTGAAATGGGTGTAGCCCAAGGGTCATAAAGAAGTGGCCGGGGCTAGTGATGCTAATGTGAGAAACTAGCATTTAACTGTAGAAAAAAAGGAAAGCGGCCTCCTCGACGAGATCACGGAAGTGGCTATGTTAATGTGAGAGATTAGCATGATCTTTACACCTGCTTTATTGCCAGAAAAAATAACACCTTAGTGTTATTTTGTTTCCATCCACCCATTCAGTCTGCATTGTAATAGAGTGTTTCCCCCTCACACGCATGGGGTTTTTTCTTCTTCTCCGAGTGCTCCGGTTTCTTTCCACATCTCAACACTCAATTGGCCGATTACGCCTTCGTATATAGAGGACCGCAGAGCTGGGCCAATTACTGGCGCCGGCTGACTGCGTGGCTGCTGCTCAGAGGTCGCAACCGGATATCCGATACCCGTACCCTACCCGATACCCGGCTACCCGTACCCGGCCAGGTATGGGTACCCGTTTGCGACCCAGGTGCGGCCGGGTACGGGTAGGCCGTGAGTCACTGGTGAGTCACCGTTTGCCACTCATTTCGGGTAGGGTACGGGTAGCGTACGGGTACCCATACCCGGCCGGGTACAGGTACCCATTTGCGACCCTGGTGCGGCCGGGTACGGGTACGGGTAAGGAATCAAAACCCGTTTGCGACCTCTGCTGCTGCTGCTGCCGCCCCGTTTGTCTGTGGCTTGTCATGCCACCACCGAGTCGTTCTCTCTCTCGAGTGAGTGAGTGAGTGAATACTGTGCGGCAGGTTGTTAGTTGAAATTGTCGTGATTGTTAGTGTCAGGCATAATCGATCCACTGCTGGATGAAGGCATTCCCAAAAAGCCGCCGCCACCTCTTATAGGGCCCTCCGATTTAACAATCCACGCAGCACCCGTGCCTGAGATGATTTCCGTGGCTCCGTTTTTCGCAGGTGGAGGTACGAAACCTGGCCACCACCTGAGTTCGATTCCCGAACACGGGCTTGCAGCCAGGGCGGGATTACGGCACGGGGCTTTATGGGCTGCAGCCAAGGGGCCTCCGTCAGCTGAATTTTATTTGTTAGCCTTGTAAAAATAAAATTTTATTTTTCCTTTGGAAAATATCACTGGGGGCCTCACAGTACCTGTCGCCCAGGGGCCTACAAAATGTTAATCCGGCCTGCTTGCAACAGTGGCGGGTGACATCTGAATCGGTTCTAGGTACCGCCGTGTACCAATAACGCGCAGCTTGAACAAATTCGCGGTGAAGTATGGTCAAACAATCGCCCATGACCGACAAGGTGCGGGGAGGCTGTCGTTCAGTATTGGATTGACAAAGGTCTGTAGATGATGTAGCGATATATGAATTAAAAAAACGATCGAATTAATTGGAACGAAGATATTATTCAAAAATTAGGGATGTATTCTGCTTTGGAATCAAAATGAATTAATGAGACATTTAAAAGCGAAACAAAGATGTGTTTCTTTATTATAATGATCACCATCACCTCGCATGCACCGATTTATATATCAGCATCATGATCATAATGATTGTTATGATGATCGTGAACAAATTTATAATAAAAATCATGATTATCAACATCATCACCTCGCACTCACGTATCATCATCATCATCGAGCACATATCTGTATGAAGATGATCTCGCACTTATCATCGGGATAATCATCTTGCACACATCTATATGGAGATCATCATAAATCATCTTGCATCTCAACATAATAAAAGGAGTTTTTCCCCTTTTTTCTGGCAACAAAACTGAAACCTTTTTACAAGGATTCATGTCTGCATTAACCACAATACTTGCAGTCAAAATGCAAACAAAAAACACACAATGATAATATATGCATTGTCCTTGAAACTGATTGGTCCACACCAAGGGACGTCTTTCTTTTGAGCCTCGACCCAATTGGTGCTCGACCAGAGGACGCCAAAAGGCGTGCACAGCTCAAAGACAATGCACTATCAGAGCATCTACATCATTAGACCTCCTTTGCCAGTACCAACATATAATAATAGGGTTTTCCCTTTTTTCTTTACATCATGATCATCATCCCGCAATCATCTGTATATAAGCACAGCCATGTTGTTAATCATATTTTATAGAATAGTCGTGTTATTAAAGCCGCTGATAAAGCGTAATGCATTGTTATCCTATCGCAAATGTAATTAAACATTTGTGAAAGCTATTCGGTACTCGGGCCCCTGCTTTTTTTTATTAAAATATGTCTCAGTTTTATTCGGTTGCGTTTAGATTTTGGAGTATTTGGCTGCTATAAATGTGCACGTGTTAAGCCACTTTGGTGAGCTGTCATCTTGTGGCCAGGTCGCTTCTTGATAGACCAGTGGGGCCTTACCTGGCATAATAAAAACGTATATTTCGATTTAAAGCTTTCGTGACTGCAGGGATTCATCTTCTTGGTTATTTCGGTAAAGTCACGTAGAAGGGAAATAATAAAATAATAAAAATAAAACATAATAAAATACAATTCTCACGACCTTTCGGCCACAACGCAAGCAGCCGTCCTCAGGTGAACGAACAGGTCTGTCGGAAAAACAGCGTCTGAATGATTCTCATTTCTTCCACGTGACTTTACCGAAAGAACCAAGAAGAAAACACGTATATATTCAGAAGTGAGTTCTTTAACTTTCCTATACTTTCCACTGCTTTCGTGTTTTTTTATATTGTTTGTTGTTGTAAGCGTTTTGACCTGCCCCTACTGGACATCTGTCAAAAGAGCTTCATAGCTCATCGGATTCCTCCTGCCAGTATCAATAAATATTCTGATTCTGGTGTCACTGCAATCCGAAGACTGTAGTCGTCTTAAAGTGTGACCGTCATTTAGCAACTTAAACTACAGCGTGACGTCACAACGACTGTCACTCCTCGGACAGTATGACGTCATAATTTCCTGCAACGCCCCGAACTTGTACGCTGCGTAATGACGTCATTTCGTATCACGATTGATGGCGCGCGCGCGCGATGAGAGCAACGTCAACCGGGGGGCGGGGAGAGGGGGGGGGGTGCGTAATGACATCACGCGGCGACGCTGACGACGTCATCCGGACGCAAAGGGTGACGTTGCAAGCACAATCCCTGTACGCGCTGACGTCACTCCCCCCCACTACGGAAAGCGCGGTGGGGTGCACTGGCACGCGCGAGCGATCGGCTTTGCCAATTTACGAATCGCGAAAAACCTGTGGCCGGTCGCGACTGGGGGCTGCTGTTGCGTGGATAGCGAGACAGAGACACAGAGACGTCTTAGCTACTCGTAGAGACAGGGACACAGATACGTCTTAGCTACTCGTAGAGACAGGGACACAGATACGTCTTAGCTACTCGTAGAGACAGGGACACAGACGACTTAGCTACTCGTAGTAACCGGGGCAAGCCGGCTGCGGGAGTTAAATTTTTTGTGTGTTGGTCGAACGACCCCCTTCACTTGAACGGCGCCCGAGTGAATCTCGCGATTTCAAGAGAACAAACAAGAGAGCGATGGGGCTGATGTCGGACTTCGGGTTGGAGGACGTGGCTGGACAGTTCGCGAGGTTGCCGATGTTCCCGATATTCGACCTGATGCACTACACCCTCTCCATCATGTACCTCAAGCACGAAGCAGGTCCGCCGCCTAAATTAGTTCGCCACTCCGGCGATGCCCATAATTGGGCCTCTGTGTGTGTGTGTCTCTGTCTGTGTGTGTGCGAGGGAGTGTTGTTGTTGTTGCTGCTTGCTTGCGAAGCCTTGTTTGTTAATTGCACGCGTTAAGATGAGAAGTTTGTTACGTTGGTTTGCAAGTTTGTTGCATTGGTGACGGACGAACGCACTTTGGTGGATGGGGGTGGTGTAGTTGCGTGGTTTTAAATGTCTAATCTATTTTGTTTACACACGAGTCGAGAGAAAAGTTGCCACGTTTGTTTGATGAGTGTGTTTGGTTGTGTTACTTACAATCGTGATGTTTGTCATTTCACGTTTGGACTGAGGAGATTTAGCGTGAAGTTGTGCGTGCAGTGTGTGTGTAGCGTGTGTGTATGTTTCACATTTAAGGTTACATTTGTTTAAAGTTGAGAGAAAAGTTGCTACGTTTGATAAATGAGTGTACGTTGTATGACTATGTTGTGTTATTTAGAATCATAACATTTGTTACAACTTGTAATGCACATCACGTACAACACAACTTGAAACTATATATCCCCAGCACTTGAGGTCAATTGTTTTAAGTTTATATTGTTTATAAACCACGAACAATTGAGGGGAAGCAAGAGAACCAGGAGAAAGTCTTTGCAAGTGTGACATGTGGGTCACCAATATTACAAAAGCTAAAATAAGTTAAAGTATAGCAATGAAGTTAATATAATGCTGAGCTATTTGACATGTGGTGGAATGCAGTGAGTCGTAAGGTTATATATATTTAAATAAGTTGGGTCTTTTAGAATACTGCAAAGTAGATTAACTGGTTTTGGGTAAAACAATTCTGTACAGTATTTAAATTATGTGTTTGTTTCTTGAGCGGTCTGTTGTGTTGTTTAAAATCCTAACATTTGTAGCATCTTGCATTGTTGAGAGGTTGAGGAAATTAAGATTGGAGTTGTGTAAGTGTGTGATGGTATTTCGATTTAAAGCTTTCGTGACTGCAAGGATTCATCTTCTTGGTTCTTTCGGTAAAGTCACGTAGAAGGGAAGTAATAAAATAATAAATATAAAACATAATAAAATAATTCTCACGACGTTTCGGCCACAACGCAAGCAGCCGTCCTCAGGTGAAAACCAGTCCAAATGTGAAATGAGGACGGCTGCTTGCGTTGTGGCCGAAACCTCGTGAGAATTATTTTATTGTGTTTTATTTGTATTATTTTATTACTTCCCTTCTACGTGACTTTCCCGAAAGAACCAAGAAGATGTGTGATGGTATTCAAGTAGATGCAAAGCCGGATATTTGCATTTTAATCAACCAGGTTCTGTGTCTATAAAATCAGAAAAGTTTTTTTATCTGCTGTTGGGTAAACGTGTGCTTAATTGGAATACCCTTCAGCACAAGTTACCCGAATATTTTTCGTTTAAATTATTAGTTGTGTGTGGTGCGTGTGTGTTGCAAATTATGGTGTTGATGGGCAAGGCTGACCTGCGTGAACATTTAATAAGCCAAAAAATCGAATCATGAATCCTAATAAATAAAAATATAAAATAAAGCATTGGTTGGAGAGGCATTCATCCAGCAGTGGATGATGGATGTTGATGAACATGCATTTCTACCCAAGTTTAATCCAGAAACCTTTTCGGGGTTAATTTTGAAATATTTCTAACCAGCAAGTAAATTTACTAATGCCTTTTAAAGTATTCATAGAAATAATGTGAAATATATTAACTTTTTCGTGGTTAATATACTAAATTTAAATCTAAGTATTGATGGGTTCAACGTAGTTTTTAAAATGTTTTCGTGTTAATATTTAACTTTTCTTCGATTTTTTTAAAAAGGTTAATGAACTTTGAAATGTGCATCGTTGTTAAATGTAGAAGTGGTGTGGTTTGTGACTCTTACATTGTGTCACTACCATCGCAGAGATGGAGCCGTGAAATCAGCTCGTGTGCATGGGGATTTTGTTCACATCGCAGTGACCATGAGAGATAGTGACAGGGTGTTTTATCCAGCAGTGGATTGATCATGGCTGCTGCTGCTGATGGTGATTAAGTGTGCCATTAATACGTTAATAATGAATGGCTTGTGCCTTGCAATCACTTTCTCCTGCCGTGGGAATGTGGAATGCGAAGTCTCCACCATCGGCTTAGGGCCCTAAATAGGAGCTGAGTGCCGCCACCCCCAGCCCATAATCGTTTCAGCAGGACAAGCGTTTCACTTTTGTACAGAGGACTTACTCTAGTACACGCTACTTTATATGCTGCCACGATGTTTTCCCTTCTCAAAACCACCTCAATGACCCTCATCCAGCACATTCATTGACGAAGCGCTGTAACGTGTACATTTAAAGCCACGTAATGTACCCGAATGTGCACCAACGAAATCATGCATTTTAACACCGCCACACACGTGCGCTGTGGATTGCAACTTGTGGTTGGCATGGGTGGCGCGTGAAATCTGAACCCTTTCTGGGCCACCGTCCCACCCCGTTTCGCTAACCTGGACTGACCAGTTTTGGTTAAAGTAAGATCAAGCAACCTCCGTGATCGACAGAGAAGAGGCCTACATCCATCATATTGCATTTGAATGTGTATGGTGTTTTTCAGCCCTTTACGATTACACGAGTTTAAAGGGCAAAAATTCTACGAAAGAAAAGTTAGTTCCGCTTGCAGTGGATGGACTATATGCCGATATTGAATTATATACAGGATGTGTCTTGTAAAAGTATATGCTTTTAAAGGGCTACACCCATTGTTAAGCTTGCGTTGAGCTTTAATACAATACAGTATTCGACTGATGAATAATGAATTCCACACGCAAAGATATGCCCTGTAAATGATCACGGCACATACATTGGAGAGATTAGCTCAGCAAATCGCGGCGTGACCCGTGTGTGTGGTTTTGCAAGTTACACTCATCTGGGTGTGAGGTTGGTGGTTATTGTCATCCTGCGGACTGGTGTTTGTCACTTAGATGCCCTCTCATTTTTGTTTATCTCGCCACCGTGACGTGAGTGAGATGTTAACTATCTCGCCTTGTATGCGGGAGGTTGTGGGTTCGATCCCGACCCTGACCCCTCTATATTTGTCTCTCTCACCATGGCCGCGTGGATTTTTCTCCGGGTCCTCCGGGTTTTCCCTTCCACATTTAGAAACACGCGTTTCTCGTATTTGCCTCCGATAAATGTCGATAAGCAACTTCACTGAGCTGTCATTTGTGATCGCCAGGTCCCCTTATAGCTCAATGGGCCTTACCCAGTAAAATAAAAAATAGTAGGAGATACAGAACTCTGTAGGGTTCCAAACAAGTATGCGTACCCAGCAGTGGTACCTGAACAATCTGCAAGGAACAGGCCAAATAGTATACAGGGTATGCTGCATGTGCTGGAATGTATTCATCGGTGGGTCTATCTGTGTATGCGCTTGCATCTGTGCATGTACGTATGTCATTTTATGTATTCGTGTACTGTATTATGTTACCAGTACATATGTGCAATATGTATGCACGCATTTTACGTTTACAATTTTGTATTGTACATTTTTATATTATTCGGTCAAATGTGTATATAAGCATGCCTTATATACTGTGTATATAATGCCTGACCATGTATCCATTTACAGTACAGAAATTGTGCTTAGTAACTAAAATATTGCCTCTGTTCACGTGAAAAAATCGCAGGTTACTAATCAGATTACGCGTACAAAAAATATGTGGTAATGTACGTGAAAACGTTAACTGTTCTAAATATTGCATTTGGGTAAAATGCACAACTTTTTCCACGTGTGTGCTCTAGACCCAACAACTCCCGGTTCATTTAAATGCTGCACATTCAACAACCACATTGGAAACAATTACTCGTCGTTTTCGGCCTCTTGTCAATCGACTGCTGAAGGACAGCTTCCCCACCCTGCGTTCGTGTTTTGGGTGTTGTTTGACCATGCTGTGCAAAAAGAACATATGCTTTGGGGATGACGATGATGGTGAAGCGACAGGTTAAAGATGTGGGAGCATAGAAGTGCAGGACAGAAATGGATTTTACTGCCCTGCCCTCTGTTACCCATCACGAAGCCCAACAGCCTAAAACATTCTGCTGTGCATAGTGATTGCCCATCCAAGCACATATCAAGTCTCAACTCTGCTTAGTTTCCGAGATCTAATATGATAAGGGAGCATTCTGGGCACTTGTTCGGAGGCATTGATAATCATCGTTATGTTGTATATGCACAAAATATATCAGCAATAACGTGTGCACGGGCTTCCTGCAGGGACTGCTTTGGCCGTGGTTAAAGTTAGTCTTTTCGGTGACTCGTGTGCAACCACGCATATTTTGGGCAGCTCCATGTCCTACGCAGCAGTAATCTGCTCTGCAGCTGTTCACTCCGGCTCCAGACCGGCATTTTCAAGAACTGGACCCGCCAATGCTCTGGGAGGGGTGGGGGAGGCAGGTTGCCAGCATCTTAAATATCAGTTTTACAGTTCTCTTTTAACAACGCAAAAACTTTAGATCGGTAATGCACGGTAAAAAGTTGATTTCTAGACAGTGTGACGGCATGATTGTGACCAAAGGATCGGTCCTCATGTACCGTACCGGCCTTCATAGATGCTCGCTAACAGCACTTTCCCCAACAGTCTTCAGGCTGTGACATTGCCACACAGAGTGTATATATGTACGCAGATTTTTCTTAGATCACCAACTGAAAAATTAAGATTGTAGCCTTAAAAAATGATAATATTATTTTTTAAAATACATATCGCGTTGTTCAAGCAAAGTGCATCGTACATTGCTGAGGAACCACAAACAAGCAGGAAGGCAGTCAAGCCACAATTTTGACTCGTTGGAGTTTGTGGACTAAATCAAGACTAGAGTACGGTTGTGTCATGTGACATGCAAGGCATGATGGGGGAAGTCATCCTATGGTTACAAGTAGGGCTTTTTGCTGCCTAGAAATCAACTTTGATCTGTGTGTGTGTGTGTTATGAGGCTT